CCGGGTGACAGAGCGAGATTCCATCTCAAAAACAAACATTGAGTCAATAAGTCAGATAAGATCTAAGGGGGTGAGAATAGCTGTTCCTCTGCAGACCATCTTTCCCCATCCTACATTCTCCAGCTGTGAAGAGGAGCTGCCTGGCAAGGAAGGTGTACGGCAATAGGTGGTGACTGATGAGAATAATCAGAGGAAAATAAGGAATGGAAGTAAAGATTCAAAAGGGCAGATATCTCCACAGGAACAGGACCCACCCACAACCTGTACAGCAAGGCCAGAACTCAGCTCATTTGCCCAGGGGTCTGGGCATTCAAGGACTGAGTTCCAATAATCACCTGTGCTCACCCGGGGGCTAAGAAAACAGACAAGTCAATGTGGCATTTGTTTTTATTAGAAAACCCCTTAGTAAGCACTTCTCTAACCCAGAATAGACACTGGGTATCCTCCAAGAGTCCCATAGCTTTCATTTCATCTTCTACCCTTTTCTGAGAGCGGGGGGCAGGGGATGGGGGTGGTGTCAGGCAGTCTCAGAAATGCCCCTCCTAGACCCCTGAGAGAATTCACATTGCCAGCAATAAACCAACAGCACCTCAGTGGGGCATCAGAGGGCCCTCTAGGCTCAAGGCTATTGCCAAAGGCATTCCCGTTTATGGCTTCACATGGAACCAAGGAGGCTCTCACAGACTCCTAGGCCTGGTCCTTCACTATGGCTGAGAGCAGGGCAGGATCCAGGAGAAAGTGGCCAAGGGCTAAGAGAGAAGAGATTGCATTTAAGATACCCTCTGGAGTCTGGAAAGCACCTGGATTTCTTGGGAGAGGAGCCTGGATTTCTTGGGAGAGGAGGGCTGTGGAAGCCCCACTCAGTTCTTCTTCGTTTTGGGAGTGTCATATTTCCTCTTGCTGGAGTACCACAATAGCAGGGGGATGCCGATGGAGGGAAGGGTCATGACCCCAAAGGCTGCCCAGTCCAGCTGTGAAGGAAAACAAAGACCTTGCTTAGAAGTCTGGATTAGGGCACAGGAGAAGCCAGGGAAAATATGAGTCCAATGAGAAAGGAAGCAGTCTAGTCCACGTTTATTTATTTTTGATACAAGGTCTTGCTCTGTTGCCCAGGCTGGAGTGGAGTGGCATGATCACGGCTCACTACAGCCTCGACCTCGTGGGCTCAGGTGATCCTCCCACTTCAGCCTCCTGAGTAGCTAGGATCACAGGGGCGTACCAACACACCTGGCTAATTTTTTTTTTATTTTTTGTAGAGGCAAAATATCACTATGTTGCTCAAGTTGGTCTTGAATTCCTGGGCTCAAGTGATCCTCCTGCCTTGACCTCCCAAAGTGCTGGAATTACAGGTATGAGCCACAACACCCAGCCTACATTTTCTTAGTTTTTAATTTTAATTTTTTTTTTTTAGAGATAGGGTCTCACTCTGTTGCTCAGATTAGAGACTAGTGGCGCAATCACAGCTCACTGCAGCCTCAAACTCCTGGGCTCAAGCAATCCTCCAGCCACCCAAGAAGCAGATTACAGGTGCACACCACCAGGCCTAACTCAGCACAAATTTTAAGCAGAACTTTGGCCAGGAAGGTTCCTCTCTGACCAATCCTGATATAGAATGGCTCTCTAAAGACCAATCTTTCAAGCTGTGAAACCAAAGGACTCACCTGACCCAATCCAGACTGGAAGAGAAGCTTCTGTTCCAGACAATCTTTGAGAATGGAGATACCCTGGTCTTGCCCCTGACAGTCAAGCCTCCTATGATCTACCCCTTGTTTACACTTCAGGCCCCCTCTTTTCCATTCCTCCACCTCATATTCTGCCCGTCAGCCTTGATAAACTACTTGCCATTCCTGAATCACACCACACTTTTCTCAATCTCAGCTGGTCTCTCTCCTCAAGTGCCTGCCCTTCCTTACCTCCTCCAGAAAGTCCCCTCTCGTTAGATGTTCCTGCTGCATGCTCCTCTAGCACCTGGCATATAACCTCTATCATAGCATTTTCCCCATTTACTTTTACTTTTTTTTTTTTTTTT